TAAGATCAAGTTTTATGTGCAAGAATAAAACTACTGACAGTAAAGCAGTGTGACTGCAGGATAAGTGATCGTGTCTTCGACTCACTAATGTTAACTGAATGGTGTTGTATTTCTGTTCAGGTAAATCATTCGGGTAAAATGTTTCGCTGAGACTCACACTTTCCTGACCCATGGTGTGAAACACTGATCTCTACACCCGCAAATGTGTAGTTCATGTTGTAATGTTTCGTCAAGCACAACATAAAATACATTTCCACAGCTTAAAAATGGCTGCAAAAGCACACAAAAATTCACATACACACACACACACAAAATCACACACAAGTTCCCCCTGCTCCAGCTGTGTCTTAAGAAGTCAGGGCCAAACCGGTAATCTGACTGGGATAGAAGTTACTGGATCTGTATCCATTACAGGATGTAATACCCCTCGCTCCCAAAATCTCCTCACTTCCCTTGACCTTCCACCCTTCAGAGGTCACTTTAAGATTTTTTGTCCTGTGTTTTTCAACAATAAGAGGCAAGTTGAGCGTAAAATATCAGGGACTCATATTTATGTCAGTAAACCCCTATATCCACCACATTAGCCTCTCTGGTCTTGTTAACCCTCACCTGTTTACACACACACACTCCCATATCAGATGTGTTTTGTGGCTGTAACTGGCTTATTTCGGATGTAACACAGAGAATATAAAAGATGTCTAAGTCTAAAGGTGTGTTTACTTCAGGACACCAGCAATTTGTTTTTCTTCTACCGGCAGCAACATCTTACCTCTCTGGTTCATCTTTACAGCCAGAAGATCCGTGTAGCTCTAATGAGGTGTCAGTTTCCAGAAAGGGAACTCAACACATCCTGTCAGGAAGCTTTGCGACTGACGAGCAGAAGGCACAACGAGCAGTTTGGTGGAGTGAGTGAGCTCGAATGCCTTCTGCTTTTTCTATACTCAAAACAGCTTTCTATTCAGAAATGTCTCCATGAGCTTTTCAGGAGGATGAGAGTTTATTCATCGACTTCCTGAGAGCAAAGTTCCCCGATGAACCCTCATGGTTTGAGTCTGATTGAACTAATGTGAATATGTCTGAGGTGATGCAACCATTTTACTGTGGGTGACGTGAAATGCACATGACAGATCGTGCAGCCAGTCTTGTCTACATTTGGTATTCTCTTTTGCACAGTGGGAGCAATTTCGAGTAAAACTGTCCTTAAAGCGTAAACTCACTGAAACCTGAAATCAACCAGCAGGTGTTCAGTGACACACACAGATGAGAATACAGCTCGTAATTTGCCAACAACTACAATTTTTAAAGAAAAAGAAAAACAGATCAAATTGAAATGCAAATGGTACGACACATTCTAGGTACTTTTAGAACACACTGTCAAACAATGCCTGTGTAAGGGGATTAATTTGGCTAAAAACCGTGTAGGTGTTTTATTGTTAAAACTAAATTCTGCAGGGAGCAACAGAGTCTCATTAGCGTCCAGTGACAAAAGCGAAGCAACTGGCAGAGCTTTGACTGTGAAAACTGATACAGCCGTGCTTATTTCCACCAAGGACAATGAAATGTAAGCTATCACGCTCACTCCTCACTTCCCAGAACTCACAGTGAAGGCTGCAGCCTGGCGTAGGTGGAAGGTCAGAGAAGATCCGTGCATGCGTGTCTGTGTGTGTGTGATTTAAACAGCGTGCATAAGTGTGTGCATTCCCTACGCTCTCATTTCACCTTGAAGAATAATGAACACATCGTCCTTCACTCGTTTGCTGCAGAGACAATGGCCAAGACGTGCTGCAGGGCAAACTATGAGCATCATGCAGACACAACACTGTAGCCGTCTACAGCTAAAATCAATAAGTCTAGTTCACCTGTGGCTATAGGACCAAAATACACTAACACCTGCTCTAGACTTTCATTCAATACATAAAGCAACCACGTGTTGTTCAGGAAATTTAGAGGGGGGGGGGGGGCAGGAAGACAACAATGAGTAAAATGCAGATAAAGCAAAGTGAGATACAGATCCTCTAATAAATGAATAAATCTTCCTCTCTGTCTCTGCCTGCACCATCTTTTTTTTTTCAATCACTTTTCCAGAAAACAAATATTTGCCTGTTGAGTCACCGTTGAATCTGATGCCAGGACAATCAATCATCCGTGTGTCAGCCAATGAATGAGGCTGTTGCTGGTCCAATCAATCATCTATGTGTCAACCAATGAATGAGGACGTTGCTAAGAGGCCGCGGGCGAAATTCTATTTGAATACAGTTTCCACAGTTAGGAACTGCTCGCATGGAACACACCTAATTTGACTAGATTGAAGATTTTAAAAACATGAAATTGCATTTTTCAAATTTATAATGTGGGTATTTTGCTCATGCTATAGGCCTGTTAACATTGAGAATGGAAATATTGTGGATGTACATTTATCCCGGGAAGTACAACGTTAAGCATTTAAACTTTATCTAGCATTTTTATTATTTAACCCATAAAGATTTGGCAATACAATTTACAGCAACACTGGCAGGAATTTATTGGGGTGAAGCCTAAGAAATATGTTTTCATATGTTTTCAGGGGGCATTCAGCCCAGATCTGACATATATACCCTACAGCTGGCGCACTAATATTACACTGGTATTAGTATTGCATGTAGAAAGATTACATTCATCATCAAAAACATGTTATATAGATCTTATCTAGTCCCAAAAGCACCAGTTGGTTAATGCAGTGATGTAAAGCATAAACAAAATTTAAAACCATAAAACCACGTAGGGAACGAACATCAACTTTCATTATTATATCAGCTCAACATTAAGCAAATTAAAGTGTGAACATCTTACTGGGAAAATAACACAATCAAGAAAAGATTTTTGGTAAAGATCCAACTTTGTGTCTGATTTACACGTCTTCTTCACTGGCAGCTGTTGTGCAGCTTCTCGGACAGAGCAGTCAGTGTTTCCATGAATTTGAAACATTCAGGCAATTCTCATGTTTGCGTTCATGTGTACACATGTGTGCGATGCAAATGCTCTGATGTTCACGGTTTTCAAAATGACTGATAGTTCTTTCAAAGTGTGGTTCTAATGATATAACTCTGTGAGCCAAGAAAGTGAGGCTAAATCCAAACTAATGTGTTTTGATTTTAAAATGGTCTGAAACTAAAATAATCTACGTCCAGATGAGTGTTTTTGCTGCATAACGCTGTCCATTATAACACCTGAAAAATGCATATCACATAGTCATTCATGTGCACTGTTCATGTGCGTACAGGTGTAAACAGGAAGCAGATTGTGCAGATCAGCAGTTGCTTGGTTTAAGGGAATATTACCATCCAGAAACATCAATGGAGAAAAGTATTTCTTAGCTTAAACCAACAATGAGCCATAACAACTAGTAAATACAGGTCTAGTAAGTTCCACTGGTGGATGAGGCCTATGCCATTTCGTTTTCTTCAGGAAAAGGGTCAAGTGATAAGAGTCTGGTGAATAGGGGAAGGATAAGTCATGACCGAATCAAGAAGCAAAAATGACGGTTGGTTCCAAAAGTCCCAATTTCTGCCTCTGTCCAGATCAAAACACAACCCAACTTTTCAAACTAAAACAGGGCAAACATGTTTGCAAAAAGTGTCTGGAGTAATTTGGACGCCGAGTGAATAAATAGCACAAGCGATGCATTATAAAACTAAAAGGCGAAAACCTTTTAGTTTGTGAATGCAGCCTGAGGCAAAAGGAGGGGGAAACTCAGCATGGATTCCATAGGAAAGCCAACTCGACTGGTGACAATGACAGGAAAGATGGACGAGAAAGTGGGGGTGACAGGCCGCCAGAGGTCACAGGACGACCTCAGCACATAACACACTGAGTATGAGGTATGAGACTTTGCTGGCTTAACTTCAGGGATCCCAGCTGAAACAATCTCCAATGACTTTAAATAGACCAACAATAATGAGACAGAGGAGAAACATGTGCAGACACCATCACTCAGAGGAAGTATATTGTGGACAACTTCCCAGCTTCCGCACATGATCATTTCAAATATCTACAATATTGATTTTTTTGAAACGCTAACTTTGATTATAATCTACCTAACCACGGTTAAACTTATATGCAGGAGAAACATCAGAACAGCAGCTGAGTCGAACCTTAATGACACGCATCACCACACCAAACATAACAGAGCAATAAATCTGACACGTTCTCTCTCTTAACACCTCGCCAATCACACTCCAAACATGGTCACAGACAAAGAGGCTGATGCTGCTGACGGTAACAGTGTCGCTCCATGACAATATGTCTGTTTGAAGCCGAGTGCACCGTGACTGAAGATATGCAGCTGAATGTCACAGCAAACACGGCACTACAAAATGAGTGTGAATTAAAAAAACAATCACTGAAAAACTGATTTATCAAACCAATATTCTTCAGATACCTTCAGTAGGAAAGCTTCTGATAGTTTTTTGGTAATTCAAGTAATTAATAGAAAAATCTGCAAACAATTACATATTTGTATAATAATACAGCAAATGGTTAATATTCTAATAATCAAATCCACAGCTGCACCCACTAAAACTCTATGAATTGTCAATTGGAAAACATATAAATAGAAATAAATATGCAAGATTAAATGTGAAACACTGAAGCCATGCAACAGAAAACATGGGTGATTCCCTGATGTAAAACAGCCACATTCATGTTTATGTTTGGACCATGTCTACATCAGCGTTTTGGAGCCGATTTCTAAACCTGACCGTCATCACGAGTTGCTTACTACAGACACTGCACTGCAGGGCACAGACAGAAGCTGCAACTTTAACAACAAACTGTACAAGACAAAAAGAGAGAATAAAACCCCCCGTACCACTGGTAGGAAGGAGAAGAAAACCCAGGACTAAGGTTTTAAAGAGTCAAAAGAAAATGAGAGATTTGAGCAACTTCACACCACAGCTACATAAAAAGAAACAGCATCGAGGTGGAGGGCAGCAGCAGAGTGGAGAAAGTTTGCAGTAACTCACCGTGTGCTTGTGCGTGAAGAGAGAACAGTCCAAGCAACAGCAGAGGACTCTGGCTCCAGAGACAGAGAGAGAGACAGCGCTCCAGCCTTTCTCCCTGCACTGGCATGGTAGAGACTGCTGCTCCGCTCCTCTCTTCTCCTCTCTTCAGTACACTCCACACCACAGGATCCGCCACTCACACACTGCCTCTCCCCCCCTGAGAGTGTGTGTGTATGTATGTGCCAGAGAGGGAGGGGGAGAGGGAGAGAGAGTATGTGTGTGTGTGTGTGTGTGTGAGTGAGATGGGGGGGAGTACTGGGCATGTAAGCTCCTGTATGTGTGTGTGTGTATCAGACCGCAACGTGAGAAAGTCCACACCACACAAAACACACCAGCAGCAGCAGCAGTTGCAGTTGATTGTCCTCAAACCCGTCTGACAGTAGCAGCCCAGCTGAGAGAGAGAGAGAGAGAGAGAGAGAAGGAAAAAGGGGAGTTTACTTCACTTGCCTAGTAGGGAGGGCTGACCCAATCCTTTACTCTCTCACACACAGACACACACACACACACACACACACACACACACACACACACGGGGAGGGAGGACATGGGTGGACAGAAAACAGGGGCAGGGAGCAGACAGGAGCAAGATGGGGTTAAGGAAAAAAGTAGGAGGCCGGTGAGGAGGATATTGAAAACACGCAGCAGGATCTTTGGGCTTCTGCACCTTCAACAGCTTACAGTCAACCTTTCCAACTTTTCATGTTCAGTATGAAATCTGCAGCGAAAGTGGAATAAGTTGTTTACTAAACCAAATGGAGCCGTGGTGCATAGCATGGGTGGCAAAACCAAAACTGACTGACCAAAATCAATATATGATGAGTTCATATATGAAAAGCTTGAATTGCTTTAACCCTGCGTGCACATCCTCACCAACAGCCTTAAGTGGCAAAGTAATCAAGAGCAAGGGCCTCCTTCAAGTGTGTTTAAACAGAGTGGATTCCAGTTGTTCATGCTGATACACCAGGATGCTAAATTGCAGCTTCTTTAAAACTGCATGCAGGAGGCAGGACATGATGTGGAAATTCTCCTGTGGAAACCACATGTTTGTTTACAGCACATTGAAAGCCTTAACACCAAAACCTCCCAAATTCCGCCGCTCCAATTTTAAACCTTTGTCAGTGTCTTCTACGTGTATGCCACCTCTTTTATATCCTGAAATATTTGCATTCTTACAGTTTTTGAGTCCACTGCATTGCGCTCGCTGTGAATTTTGCCCCAAAACATTCCTGCTGTATTCTCACACGGGCTCACATGGACATTTTACAAGGAGGGGCTGTTGGGAAAAGCTCATCATTTTAGTTCTCACAAACAGTTCACTGGATATTTTCAGGAAAATGTTACAGTTTGGTGCGTGTACAGAAATGCGTGTAACATCAGTTACAGAAAATCCAGTCTGCCCTTCTTCTCGATTATTGCTTCACATAATTTTAAAATTGAGCAACTATTCTACAGAACCTATGAAAACCTGCTCTTTACAGAGCAGTGTGCTGTTAACAAATCAGGTAGATGGCAGAGACACTTCGAAGGAGCTGTTAGAGATTACATCACCTCTGCCTGGAGCTTTTATACTAATAAATAAATGGGCTGAGACGCTCTAATAGACCATTTCCTTTCCAGAGCTATATCATCTTACCTGTAGACAAAACTGTACTTGTGTAAGGAACACTTTGCTTTTAGCAAAATAGCATTGCAAACCTGAGGGAGCACAAAATGATCCATTATTTTTCCAACACATGACGCTGATATGAGAAGTTGTGAGGTTAAGTAGAAAGGGCAGACAGTTTTTGTTTCCATGTTAATCTGTCTCGTTTGTAGCCGCCTCTGTTCTTTGCACCTCTTTTCTTTCTCACACTCGTTCAAGTTGTTCATTAGCGACAAACAATAGGCGCCCTGGCTCCCTCGCTCCTCGATGAGAGGAAAAATCACTTCATAAATAAACAGTCCTGCCCTGATCCTGCCCTATTCTCCTTCTGTCGACCATCCTCCCCCCCTCCCCTTCTCTGATGCCTCTTTCCCACATTGGCCTTAATAAACAGAAATAAACAAACCTTACTTTGCTGTAAGTTTGTGATATAATAAAACAAAATAAAATATGTAAACATACACTGCATACTCTTCATCTTCCTCACATTTTTATATTTTGCAGAAGCGGAGACATTTTGGAAATAATGACACGTTCCCTCACATTTGCCTCCTCATCTACCAGCGATCATGTTGCTGATTATCAATTTCAGCAACAGTTCCACCATGTCGTCAGTAAATGGACAACGATTGCTAAAGTTTTCATTCTTGGAGCTTTGTTTTTGGAGGAAACCAGGCACACTGATGACCAGAACAATACCATCCCAAAAATGACCTTCAGGACGACTCTTGTGCCTTAAGCCAGAGGAATAACTTTAACCAAATCAAGAGACCTTCAATTTGTTTGTCCACTGATGGTCCCCATCCAACCTGACAGATCTTAAGAGGATTTGCAGAGAACAACAGAAAGTCAAAGGTAGGTGTGGTGTGCAAAGATGGTTGTGTCATAACCAGGAAGACTCAAGTACTTTAATTAAGTACACACACCAAAGTTCAATGGCTAAATAGTTTCTGTATGAAAATAAGATTCCGGTTCCTCCTTTTTATTAAATTAGAGGGATAGAAATATTATAAACAGTTCCATCATAGGGCTGCAACCAGCTGCAACATAACCAAATGCAAAAAAGTGAAGAGGTCTTAATACTTTTTGAACGCACTGTATATCAGAGTATTGTTTCATCTTGTGAGTTAGTCATCAACGGAACATTGTGCCAATGAAACTGAATTAGTGAATTATGATCATTGTTTATTTGTATTAGTAATTTAGTGATTGTTGACATATTAGCAGGAGATATATGCACAATTTAACAATAATCTTTACATTTATCCACTCTCTGATATAACCTCAGAAGTCTATTATCTTCTTATTTTCCAGGTTGGCACTCTTGTGTGGCTGTGCTGTGATGAGATTCAAAACATCTTAAGTAGTGATAATTGTTACTTGTTACTATGAGGATAAACTTAACAGCTAAATTCTTTGTATGGAAAACCTATTGTATGCTCTGTATGAGCACTATAATAAAGACCCAATTTTAATATTTTTGTATGATTTTATCTTTTACCTTTTCACTTTTATCTCTGACCTCCTTGATCACACTCCTAAACATTTTTATTTTTTTTAACTCTTCCTGCCTTCCCCCTCTCCCCTCCAATCCTTTTCCCACTCCCCTCCTCCGGTGAACTAGAATGTCATTTCAAGCATGTCTAACCACGGGAAGCCTTTTAAAAACTGTGACAGCATTTGCCCCCAATCCCCACTTGCTGTGAAGCGGTGTGTGTGTGTGTGTGTGTGTGTGTGTGTGTGTGTGTGTGTGTGTGTGTGAAAGTGTGTGTTTGAGAGAGAGATAGAGTAATGAATGTATGTACTGATTTGCAGGAAGACAGAATATCATATGTAGATTAGGAGGACTACCCCTTTGAAAACAGTTACTTTAAGGTATTGTAAGCTGGTGCTCTACACACACACACACACACACACTCTGGTCTTTCACAGTGTCACCCTCATGCTGGGCTTTTGATGAATGGCTGAGACTGTCACGAGCGAAAGATGAGCAGTGAAACTGAAAGAGAAAGAAGAGGAAAGAAAAGGTTGCTGACAAGAAAGAAAAAAAAAGGAGTGATCACTGAAGAATGATGGAAAGATGTGAGATAATTAATGGAAGACTGTGACCTTTTGGGGACAAGAAGCGGTGCCCACAGAGAGGAGAGACAAAGTAGATGTAAAGAGGAGGACAGAGCGATGCAAACACGGGATCACAAGGACATAAAATAAACCTAGAGACAAACAATATGCAAAACATTTCCAGATTAGGTTAAAAATAAAGTTAGTCAGACATTTGAATCTGAGGAAGATGGCACCTTTGGAGAATGTTTCCCTGTTTTTCTTACGCTAGTTGTATTTATCATTTTTGACACGCTGTCATAACACAAACAATTCACGTCAGCAGCTTTCAGTGTCAACACTTGAAAGAAAGAAGAGCTGCCTTTGAGCAGAAAGCTAAATGTGGTCGATAAGAGTGTAGAAATGAAATAAAAAGTACTTTATGATTGGTGAAATTAGGAGAAAACCATGCATGTGCAAACAAAAACATTTTTAAGCACTCAAGTTTAAGTGAGAAGATTTTGTTTTTATTTTTCTTTGAGAAAATGTTCATACCTCTCAAGCAAAAATGAACCCAAATAAATAAAAAACAAGTAAGATTATCTGAAATGCATTGTAATGAAGCTGAAAGTAAGTCTGTTTTCTGAGTTATAAACGTGTGGACTTTATAGCTGGCCAAATGGAGAAAGTCTGCAGCAACTCCGGAGGCTCTCACTCTGCCAATTGCATTCACACATACAGCCCCTGTGGAGAAACTACACAGGATCTCTGAATTGTCTGAAAGGTGCTTATTTGTCGCCATAGCAGCTTAAGGCTATATTAGCCTCGACTAGCAACACACCCAATGTTCTGGTCAAGTATCTGTTTTTTTCTGCGTTGATCTTTGACATCTTCCAGCTTTCCGACGTTAGATTATCCATGGGTACTATTAAGAAAAAGCGGAAATTTTTACATAACATACAGTATTCACTGGATAGTGATACTTAAATGTCGGCTAGTGTGAGATCCAAAGTACTTTTTTCTGTCAAGTCTCTGAAGACAGCAAGAGGCTGTTGCTGCAAAATGAACGTAGTGGAAACCCTGGCATTGGATGTTTTCTTGCCGTGGTGGTAAAGATTTCTGTGTGGCGAGCTGCCATGCAGAAATGTTAGCAGCAGAAACACTGCTGTTCCTCCAAACGTCAACATTTAATATGTAAGACAACAAGCAACCACTCTGTTCTTCTTTTGTAAAACCACAAAGCGACTCCTGTCCCCTAAACATATAAACCTGGCACACTTGTTCTGACATATTTGTGATTTAAATGCACTGTTTCCATCTGTGCCAGGGGATTTAAAAGACCACCTCACCTTTTCCCTGGTTCACTTTTAGAAGCGTTTATCCCTGCATGTGATGTGTGAACCAATTTAAGACAGGAGATTAAGTCCGTTTTAGAGAAACACCTCTGTGGCACAGCAGCATATCTGCTAATCCCCATCCATTCACTTCATCACGTCTTTAAACTAACAAGCAGTTTAACATAATCTGCTTTAAATCTGTCCATTCACTACCATTCTTCGCTTCGTTTACATAACAATCCCTTCTGCCTGCACGGTCTGTGGAGAGAGGAAGAATGAGAGAACATGTGGGTGTATGGGAGTAGGGTTGTAGATGTGGGTGAGAGATACAGGACGAGTTCCTCTTCCCATTACAATCCATTTGTACTATCA